TTTAAACTCACCAGCAACTCCCTGGAAATCCTATACAAGTCACTATGAATCAAATCAACTCAATGGCACCTAACAGTAACAGTGCTACCAGAGTACTTCCTTTACTCCTATAAATTGAATCATATAACTTGTCTTTCATGACCAACTTCTTTCACTAATGCTTTTGACGTTCATCCATATAGTAACATACTTCAGTACTTTCTTTCATTGTTGCTCTTGAATAATAATCCATTGTGTGGTTATAACACAATTTACTTATTTCTTCATCATTTTATGCACATTTGGATTGTTTCTACTTTTTTGGTTGTTAGTAATAATCTGCTGTGAACATTCATGTACAAATTTTTGTGTTTATGTGTTTCTAGCTCTCTTGATGTTTCGGTTTCCAAAGATTGTTGTAAAAAAAAGCACCACAAACATGACTTCTTAGAAATGTTTTGTCTCACAGTTCTGAAGGCTAAGAGTCCAGATCAGTGTGCCAGCTGGGCCACGCTTCCTACAAATTCTTTAGAAGATCCTTTCGTTTCTGTGTCATCTTCTGGCAGCCTCAGGCATCTTCATGTAGCTAGCTGTACTTCCTCTTTCTATCTTTCTGTAGCTCTTCTCTTTTATAAGGGCATCACTTAGATTGGATTACGACCTACTCTAGTACTTTGTTGTTAAGTGCAGTCCTGGAGTTGATTCCCACCCATAACAACCCTGAATAGGATTTTCAAGGAGCAGCTGGTAAGCTTGAATCACCGACCTTGAAGTTCAAATGACTTTGCAGTCTGTGGCATTAGCCCACAGCGCCACACCAGGACTCCACTCTAGTATGACCTCTTGTTAACTTACTGATAAAGTAGATCTTCAAAGACCCTATTTTCAAATAAGGTCACATTCATAGGGGTTGTTGTTGTTGTTAGGTGGTGAGTTATTTCTGACCCATAGCAACCCTGTATGGGGTTTCCAAGAAGCAGCTGGTAACCTTGAACTACCAACTTTGCCATTCAAATGGACTTCGCAGTCCAACACATTAACCCAGGACTCTTCACAGGGGTTAGGATTGTCAGATATACAAAGTTCAATCTGTAATATTTGGGTACGCCTCTAGGAGTGGAATTGCTGGTGCTGTAGGATAAGCACTAGGCTGTCACAACCACAAGGTCAGTGGCTCAAATCCACCAGCCGTTCCTTGGAAACCTTATACAGGGTTGCTATCAACTAAAATCAACTCGACGGCACTTAGTTTAACTCAACATCTAATATTTTGTGGAACTGCCAAACTGTTTTCCAAAGCAGCTGTCACCATTTTACATTCCTACTAGTAATATGGAGGCCTGGTGTGGTGCTGTAGGATAAGCCCTGGATTGCTAATTGCTAGGTTGGCAGTTCAAACCCATAAGCCACTCCTTGGACACCCGATGAATGGGAACTGACTTCACAGCACTTAACAACAACTAGCAATGCATAAGGGTTCCAATTCTCTGCATCCTCTCCAATATTTTTTTTATCAGTCTTCTTGATTCCTGCTTTCAGTGTTGATATAAAGTGATAATTCAGTGCAGTTTTGATTTTTATTTCCCTGGTGGTTAATGAAGTTGAAGTATTTTCATGTGCTCAATGGCCAGCTGGAGTCCTGGTGTGACGCTGTAGATTAATGCGTTGGACTGCAAGGTAGGTCCGAACAGAAAGTTGGACATTTCAGTCTCACCAGCCACTCCTCAGAAACCCTATACAGGGTTACTATGAGTTGGATTAGACTTGACAGAACTTAACTACAACAATAAAAGGGTCAGTTATGTATCTTCTATATATAGGTCTATTCAGATCCATTCTTCTTTTTTTTTTTTTATTGGATTATATAATTTTAAAAATTGTGAATGTAAGCATTTTTTATATACTCTGCATACAGGTCTCTTTAGACAAATCTTTTTCTCCATTGAATGGGTTGTCTTTTCACTTTCTTGGATGGCACTGTTTGTAGCACTGTTGTTCTGTGCCAGCAAGTCAGTTTTGACTCATGGCGACCTTGTATAGGGTTTCTAATAGCTGAGTTAGAAGGAGAGGAAAGACAGGTTGAAATAATGGGAAGTGACTTCTAATAGCTATAGGATTTATTTGGGGGATGATGAAAGTATTATAAAATTGATTATGTTGTTGTTGAGTGCTACCAAGTGGAGTCCAACTCTTAGCAACCCTGTATAGGGTTTCCAAGGAGTGGCTGGTAGGTTTGAACCACCAACTTTGTGGTTATCAGTCCAGTGTTTATCCTACAGCACCACACCAGCATTCCAATAGCGATGGTTATAAAAACTGTGAATATGCTAAAAACTACTGAGTTGTATACTTCAAAATAGGTGTACATTAAAAAATGGGTGAAATGTACAATATGTGAATTATGTCTCAGTAAAGCTGATTTTCAAAGAGCTACATGGTCTAAACCTGGGCTTAAATGCAGAGTACCACTTTCTAGTCAAGATACTAACATAAATTAAGTTTCCTCATGTATAAAATGTAAATACCTAATTAATAGTTATTTGTAGCCAAATAGTAGCATTTGTAGTATTCTATTGAGATAACATACCAAAAGGGCTTCATAAGATATAAAGCACTATGCAAAACATCTAAAGTCATTTTAAGATTATTATTATATAGACTAACTTCAGATTAATATCAAAGAAACCTAAAGAAGGAATGTGGCTGTCACATGACTTTCACAGAAAATGAATTGCACTTTTTTAAAATTAGTAAGAAATGAAAAAGAATCTGACAGCAAACATAGTAGTTTCAAAGATCTGGGGAAAAAGAAAAAAGAGAAATACATAAAACCAAAAAAGAAAAAGACACAAAAAGGAAGAAATTTTTAAATCCTAGATTTGCCTTATTTGTTACAAAGTTCAAAGCTCTGTTAAATACAAGGGTAAGTTAAAAAAAAAAAAAAAAGGTCATAGAATGCTTTATAAGACAAAATATCAAAATGTGAAATTATTGTTTCTTGATATATCCTTCATCTAGGTCTACACATGTCTGAAGGAGTGCTTCTCCATCTCTCTAATCTTACCCTGAAGAATTCTGTACTTTTCCATTTACACCATGTCAAAATGGCAGTTTTGGTATCCTTGATAGACTCACATTGTGTTCCTTTCAAATGTTCTTTGAGTTTGGGGAACAAAAGGAAGTCTGGGGGGCAGGGAGGGGCACAATTAGGACTACAGGGTGCCTACCATAAGGCTTCCCAACAAAATTCTCAATGTATCTTTGAAGAATGAGTAGGTTAGTTGTCATGATGAAGTAAAAATTTCTCTGCACATGTTTCCAGTTTTTTTCTCAACAACACAGTTTTCAATTTTCTTAAAACATTTTAATATATCCCTGTGACTATTCTGTCTCTTTTGAGAAAAATCTATCAAGATTACCCCTTTGGAATTCCAAAAAAACAGTCACCAAAACCTGCTGGGCTGACCTTAGAGAAGATCCCCTTGGAAGTCACTCTTTTGATTGGATCTCTCTTAATAAGACTAAGACAAGCGTATTACCTAGGGAAGTTATCTGCAGTTATCCACTGATCATATACACATGTTTAAACATGTGTTATTTGGAATAAACCCATTCAAATATGACCTGGAATCCTAGTAGCAATACTTTTAAACTTACCCTTGTATATTCTAAGTAGTTCAAAAGTAGTTGCTATAAGTGCCTTAAAGTTGGTTCCAATTCATAGCAACCCAGTATAGAGTTTCCAAGGAGCAGCTGACAGGTTTGAACTGCCAACCCTGTGGTTTGCAGTCTGGTGCTGATCTATAGTGCCACACCAATCTTACATTTGATAAAATATGGACTTATAAGGAAATTATTAATTAGACAAATGGCTCTCAACCAAAAGTTGTTCATATTTTCGGTTAGCTGCTCTTTAAAATTTATTCTTGATACTTACCTAGAAAGAAATGTGATCTTCATAAAGAATGGAGTTAAAATGGAGTAAAGCACTAGCTAACATTGGTTTAAGATGAAAGAAGGAAAAAAATATAGTTGATAATTGTAGAAAATGTGTTCTTACCTGCCCATCTATCACTCCCAATAGAGTGGATTCCATCCACTGTACAGGTTCAATGAAATAAGATGTACATTGAGCATGACCCCCTGTTTTAACGATGAAAGACGGTGTCATTTTCTTGTGAGCAAAAGCTATAGGACCACTTCCTTCAGTATGATCCAAAATGCTAGAACTTCGAAATAAGGATCGCCTACAATTCCAAAACACATAGAGAATATCAATTACTTTACTGTTGTTGTTGTTAAGTGCCGTCGAGTCGGTTCCGACCCATAGCGACCCTGTACAGGGTTTCCGATGGTGTAAATCCTTACGGGAGTAGAAAGCCTCATCTTTCTCCCGCGGAGCGGCTGGTAGTTTCGAACTGCTGACCTTACGGTCGCAGCCCGATTCATAACCACTACGCTACCAGAGCTCCTTACTTTACTAAAGGATGAAAAAAATAGATGAAATGTGTAGTATTTCTTAGGAAAAAAAAATGTAACATTGATTATGCTACTTTTATTCTCTGCAAATCCTATAGTCTAATTACTTCTAAAAACTTATACTTTCTTGAAAGCAGATTTGAATTAGAAATTTCTATATATCTAAGTAAACACATTCTTCCTAGAGAGATAAAAGAAACTGAAACGTGATTATTTTTAAGCTACGGAGGCAAGATAAAATCTTCAGAGGATCCAAAATCTGTTACCTGCACTTTCGACATTTATAGAGAGTCTCATCTTTCAACCCTTGTGAAAGAGTGGTTGGGTCAACAGCAAAGAGTTCCTGAGGTAAATTCTGCAATTCTGTATGACAAAATGAAAACATGTCCATTTTACAAAAGCAACTCTGCATTTTCTGATAAAATTCAATTAATGTCAAATTGAAGCAGTAAGTGTTAACCTCAGAAATTAAAAGCTAAAAAACAAAACAAAACAAATTCCAGTGTTGAGAAATCAGGATGAAGAAGAAGAACACAGTGATTAAGTTCTTGGGTTCTCGGCACAAAATACCTTAGTTCAAATTCCATCCCTGCCACTTACAAGACACATAACCTTGAACAAGTTATTTCTCTCTAAGCCACAGTTTCACAAGAAAAACAACAGTATCTGTCTTAAAGGCATACTGTAAAGGTTAAAAGAGATAATGCACCTGAAGTGTTTTCTGCCAGAGTAAACAGCATACAGATAGGATCCAATACATGTTATTGTTATTAAGTAAGAGCAACTCTGTATAGGGTTTCTGAGGAGTAGCTGGAGGGTTATGAGTTACCAGCCTCACGGTTAGTAGTTCAGTGCTTATCCTACAGCACCACACCAAGACTCCAAATACATATTGTTGCTGTTGTTAAGTGCTGTCAAGTTGGTTCCAACCCACAACAATTCTATATAGAGTTTCCGGGGAGCAACTGGTAAGCTTGAATCACCGACCTTGCAGTTCAAATGATTTTGTAGCCCAGTGCATTAACTCACAGTGCCACACTAGAACTCCTCCAAATACATATTAGCAATTATTATAACATACCTGGATACTTTTCTGTAACCTTTTGTAAACGATATTGCTTATAAATTGGACTAGAGGTATCCACTTCACATCCCATTGCTTGGTACAATTTCAGCTGCCACTCAAAGCCCTCATTCATCCTGTAATAACAAATATAAAGTTTACTTTTCTTTAAATAAAACTGTATCACAAAAGCAGAATTATTACCAAAATCAGGCAAAGACATCACTAAAAAAGAAAATTATAAATCAATATTCCTCATGAACACAGATGTAAAAATTCTAACAAAATTCTAGCCAATACAATCCAACAATATTACAAAAAAAAACCAAAAAACCCACAACAAAAAACATCATGACCAAGTGGGATTCATACCAGATATGCAAGGATGGTTCAATATTAGAAAAACAATCAATATAATCCACCACGTAAATAAAACAAAGAGAAAAAAAATCACGTGATTATACCAATTGATGCAGAAAAGGCATTTAACAAAATCCAACACTCATTCCTGATAAAAACACCAATAAAATAGGAATAGAAGGGAAATTCCTCAATATAATTAAGGGCATATGTAAAAAATCAGCAGTCAACAGCACTCTCAATGGTGAGAAACAGAAACCAGACAAGGATGCCCTTTATTACCACTCATATTCACTTTTGTCCTGGAAGTCTTAGCCAGCGCTATAAGGCAGGAAAGGGAAATTAAAGGCATCCAAATTGGCAAAGAAGTACAGCTCCATTTGCAAACGATATGATCCTATACTTAGAAAATCTCATGGACTCAACAGAGAAGTTATTGGAACTCATTGATTTGGCACAGTGGCAGAGTACAAGATCAACATACAAAAATCAGTTGAATTCCTTTACACTAACTAATAAAGAGAACTCTGAAAAGGAAATCAGGAAAACAATACCATTTACAATTGTTGTTGTTGTTAAGTGCTGCTGAGTCAGTTCCTACCCATTGTTAAGTGCTGTGGAGTCAGTTCCAACCCATAGAGACCCTGAACAGGGTTTCCAAGGCTGTAAATCTTTATAGGAGCAGAAAGTCTCATCTTTCTCCCGCAGAGCAGCTAGTAGTTTTGAACTGCTTACCTGTGGTTCACAGCCCAATTCTCGTAGGAGCTCTGGCAGCGTAGTGGTTACGAATCGGGCTGTGATCCACAAGGTCAGCAGTTCGAAACTACCAGCTGTTCCGCAGGAGACTCGACAGCACTTAACAACAACGCTACTAGAGCTCCTTTTCCTACCCACAATGACCCTGTATAGTGTTTATCCAAGGAGTAGCACACTGAGTTTGAACTGCTAACCCTGCATTTCAATGCGACCTTGAAGTCTAGTGCTTATCCTACAGTGCCACACCAGGGTTCCCTATTTACAATGTTGTTAAGTGATGTTAAGTTGGTTCCAACTCATAGCGACCCTGTATATGTTTTCCAGTGAGCGGCTGGTGAGTTTGAACTGGCAACCTTGCAATTCAAATGACCTTGTGGTCCAGTGCTTACCCTACAGTGCCACATTGGGATTTCATTTACAACAGCCATCCAAGAGATGAAATACTTGGGAATAAATCTAACCAAAGAAACAAAAGAACTATACAAAGGAAACTGTAAAACACTACTACTACAGGAAACCAGAAGAGACCTGCAGAAATGGAGTAATACACCAGGCTCGTGGATAGAAAGACTTAACTTTGTGCAAATATCAAAATCTATTGTTATAATGCAATCACAATCCAAATCCAACATTATTCTTTAAAGAGATGGAAAGACTAATCACTAACTTTATATGGAAAGAGACCTCAGATAAGCAAAACATTATAAAATGTAGCAAGACCCATATCTCACACCATATACAAAAGTGAACTCAACATGGATTAAAACATAAACATAAAGCCTACAACTATAAAGACCATCACTGAAAAACAGGGACACATTAAGGGATCTCGTATAAATACACTATCAAACGTAACTAAAAACACACAAACAGATGACAAAACAGATTACTGGGACCTCCTACAAATTAAGACATTCATATACATTACAGGATTTCACAAAATAAATAAATAAATAAATAACCTACAAACTGGGAAAAAAAATGTTTGGCAATGACATATGAAACCAGGACTACTCTCCAAAATTTATAAAACACTTAACGCCTCAACAAGAAGATAAATAATTCAATTTAAAATGGGCAGAGGACACGAACAGACGCATAACCAAAGACATACAGGTGGCTAACAAACATATGAAGAAATGCTCAAAACCATTAGCCATTGTTGTTGTTATTAAATATCATCGAGTCAGTCAACTCATAGCAACCCTGTATAGAGTTTCTAAGGAGTGGCTGGGGAGCCTGAACCACCGACCTTGTGGTTCAACCTGACCCTGCGCATTAACCCACTCCGGGACTCCTCATTAGCCATTAGTCCTCAAGAAATTAGATGTGTGACATGAACAGATATATGCATACTTATGTTCACTGCAGCAATATTCAAAAATAGTAAAAAGATGGAGACAGCCTAAATGCCTATCAACAGAAGACTGATTAAACAAACTTCAGTATATACACACAATGGAATACCACACAATGCTGAAGAATAACGATGAATCTTAAAAACACCTCACAACATGGAAGACCCTGAAGGACATTGTGCTCAGTGAAATTAGTTAATCAGTTAAAAGGACACATATTGTAATGATACCACTGTTGTAAGAAGTTAAGGTTTTCTTGATAAAAGAAACATTCTACTATTAAGAAGGGTAAAGAGAGTGGAGGGAATTATTCACAGGCTAGAGGGTAGACACATGTTAACATGGGTGACAGGACAGATAGTATACAGAAAGAAGTTGGCAGAGGAAAGATGAAGGTAGGAGACAGAAGGAGGAGTGCAAGAGTAAAGAAAATAGAGGTAAATACTGTTAACTGATGGTATATGGAAGGGATTGCAATCACTGTAATGAAGCAAAGTATATGATTTATTGAATATAAAACTGATGATCTGCTCTGTAAACCTTCACTCAATTCACAATAAAATGTTGAAAAAAAAAACAAAAAACAAAAGCAGAATTAATACCATAATAAAGAACTCACTTAGCCTCTGGCTTGACAGTCTGGAGGTTTTCATAGGCTTTTTCGAAGGTAAGTTGGTCAGTCTTCATCATAAAAGCAGTAACTACAGCAACACTTCGACTAACTCCTGAATGACTAAAAAAAAAAAAAAGACTTTTAAAATAAGCCAGCAAATGGCAACAATTAAAAACAACCCAGTTCAAAGTGGTCCACTTCATGTCTGCTTCCGCTTCCCCTTCTACTCAAATAAACCTTTTATCTCTGAAATACTACCAATGGACAAAAAAGAAAGGTTGAAGATGATTTATCTCCCTCAATTTCAAATAATCTTCATTTCAGCAACTACTACAAGGTAGGCACTATGCTAAGCACTGTAGAAAAGAACAGAAACAATGTTAGATACAAAGGAGTCAGTAAGTCATTCATTTAGGAACTACTGTACTCTGATTATATGGCAGGCACAGTTGTAATGCTGAGGACACAACAATGAACAAAACACATGAAACTCCTGTTCTCATAGAACTTGTTTACTAATAGGAAGGGATTGGCAACAAACAAAATATTTGATACACACTCCAAAATATGCAACCTCAATATAACAAGGTAATTACTATAAAGGAAGAACCCACTGCATCAGGTTGATTACGACTCGGAACAACCCTATAGAACAGCGAACTGCTCCCTATAGTTTCTGAGACTGTAAATCTTTATGGGAACAGATTGGCACATTGACTACTATTATCACCTCCTTAAAAATTCTAAACATTAAAAAAAAAAAAAAAATCCTACCCTTACAAAAATTGCTTAGTGGTGGTGATGGTTGTATGCCATGGAGTCAATAGCGACCCTGTACAAGGTTTCCGAGGCTGTAAATCTTTATAGGAGCAGAAAGCCTTATCTTTCTCCTGTGGAACAGCTGGTAGTTTCAAGCTACTGACTTTGAGGTCAGCAGCCAGGGTAAGAAAATTTCTATTTGAAGTTTCCTAAGATCTAAACTTTGGGAACATCTATGATCATATTAAAAAGCAGGGCTTTGCCAATAGTTGTAGTTGTTAAGTACCATCAAGTTAGATCCAACTCATTGTGACCCTGAGTAGCAGGGTTTCTCTGAGGTGTGGCTGGTGGATATGAAGTGCTGATCTTGTAGTTAGCAATTCAATGCTTATCCTACAGTGCCACACCAGGGCTCTGACAATGGTTGTTAAGTGCCCTGGAGTTGATTCCGACTTACAGTAGGGTTTCCAAAGTGTGGCTAGTGAGCTTGAACTGCCAACCTTACAGTTCAAACTGACCTTGCAGAACAGCACATTAACTCACAGTGCCATACCAGAACTCCAGTGAACCTAAATCCAAACCTAGTTTTATTCCTAGATACACCATTAAGATTGTATGATGCCTATACCCAAGAGGTTACGTTGTTTTGTTTCATTTTAAGGTTTTTATTGTGAATTAAGGGCACACTTTGCAAGCCACCCTCCTGCCCTCAGGCACACAGCCTTTTGCAGTCCATGGGCCTAGAGTTCTCAGTTGCTCACCCCCTCTATGCCATGGCCTCTGCCACGGTCTCAGCTGTTTGTTGCCTTTTCTGGGTAGGATCCCACGCTCCACTCATGCTCTTCCCTCTTGCTGGTCCTATGGTTCTCTGTTTCTGAAATGAAAGATTATCTACCGCCCCCTTTTAGTTACACATCTTCTACATGTAGTTGTGACCATTGCAATTAGTCCTGATAACAGTAACTCACAATCGAATCATAAAATCCTATTACAATGTGGGCCAAACTTGGTGATGCCTTCTAATGAACAGAATGTGGCAGATGTGATGTTATTTGACTTCCAAGAAACAGGTCATTAAGATAACAGATTCTGCTTAGTACGTACTCTCATCACTTTATGGGGAAAGACTGCAACCGTGGCATGAGGACACTTAAGCATGTCAAACAAAAACAAAACAAAAAACAATAGTTGCCATCAAGTTGATTCAGACTTAGTCAATCCCACATGTGCAGAGCAGAACTGCTCGTTAAGGGTTTTCTAGACTGCGACCTTTCAGAAGCAGATTGCAAGGCCTTTTTTCCAGAAGCTCCCCTGGCTGGGTTTAAACAGCCAATCTTTCATTAGTAGTCTAGTATGTAAATGTTTGTGCCACCCTGACATCCCTTAAATTCTCTATAGAGAGACTAAATGGGAAGCACTGCTAAGCAACAACCACCACTAACTTGCCAGCCACATCGAAGTACATCCTCTATTCAAGCTTCAGGTGACTGCAGCCCTGGCCAACAACTTGACTGCTACCTTATGTGAAACCCTGAACCAGAAACACCCAACTAGGCTATCCCCAAATTCCTGACCCATAAAAACTGAGATTTTTTTTTGGGGGGGTTGTTAAGTAGCAAGACAATTAGTACAGGATGATGTTGCTTTTAAGTGCCATTAGCTCAGGTCTGACGCACAGCAACTCGATATCATTTCTGAGGCTGTAAATCTTTGTGGGAGCAGAATGCCTCATCTTTCTCCCATGGACAGGCTAGTGGGCTCGGACCAACAACCTTGTGGTTAGCAGGACAGTACTTATCCTACAGAGCCACTGTGCTCCCCTAATATAGGATGCCTCGGTACAAATCCCACCTCTGGCACATATGAGTGTTAGCTATGTGACTCGAGGCAATTTACATAACTTCTCAATAGTTTAATTATCTCATTTGTAAAATGGAAAAGACCTAATGCATTCACTGTTTTGAGGTTTAAATAGGATAAAAAGTGTAAAGTACTTAAAGCATTTTTTGCTGTTAAATGTTGTCAAGTTGGTTCCGACTCATAGTGACACTGTACAGGATTTCCAAGGAGTAGCTGGTGGGTTTGAACTGCTGACCTTATGGTTTGAAGTCCAGAGCTTATGGACATCACACCAGGAGTCCAAATAAAAATGTTATTATTATTATTATTGAGTAAGCATAGTGGTTACGAATTGGGCTGCGAACCACAAGGTCAGCAGTTCAAAACTACCAGCTGTTCCTCAGGAGAAAGATGAGGCTTTCTGCTCCCATAAAGATTTACAGCCTCGGAAACCCTGTACAGGGTAGCTATGAGTCAGAACCGACTCCATGGCATATAACCACCACCACCTACCATGTGTTAGGAACTGGAGATATGTATGAAGGTATAAACAAGAGTTAAGGCCTTAGCCTGTATACTTGCCCTGACTACCGCAAAATTTAGAATAAAAAATTTGGAGTGATAATTAAGGTTTTATGTCAATTTGCCTGGGCCAGGATTCTCAATGGTTTAGCAGTTAAGATGTAGTAATCACCTCAGTGATGAGATCAGATACGATGCAATAACTCCCCCATGATGTGATCAGCCCCGATCTGACTTAGTTATCGTATGTGCTATAAATCCTCACTTCTATGATGTTAATGAGACTAGATACAAGCTATAAGATTAGGCTGTATCTTCATTCAGTCTCTTTTGAGATAGAAAGAAGAG